ATGATCTTAGGACCTCGTTTGAGTCCTTTCAACAGAAACTCAGACAGGTCACTATCAACGTCAAACGCAAAAAAAATGCAAAATGCCCGGCAAATGACATTGCACGACATGTTCAAGAACTAAAGTTGAAACTGTTTTTTCCGAAATAAACTGCGTACATTCTGGGATGCGTACTTAAACGGGGGCGTACTTAATCGGGAGGATACTGTATTGCTTGACGTGCAGCTTTTGGAACCGAATGTTCACAATTACACAAAAGTGTGACGTAAATTTTGTATAATTGTATTTTGCAGTTAGACATTATTTTAGTAAGAGTGCGCTTTTGTCATCATTTCGAATTGAAGGCGGGTGGAAATAAGAATAAACTTGTTTAGTGTATAGTAATGTGAGAGCCAGGTCAAAAGACGAAATTACTGGCAACTACTGACAACGTTTGTAGCTGGTTCTGACGATATAGCAATTGTTCAGTGTCTTCCACAGTGCTACGAAATATGATGTCTTTGTTACACTACCGCATCCACTTATTGTCTCAAGTAAGTCAGAAAGCCCAGGCATCCAGAAGTCAAATTTGTTTTGCGTAATTGAATCAATTTCTCCTTGCCAAATGACACTTTTAGTGACCATATCACCCGCTGAATAATTTTCACATCCCATTTTTTAATATTACATAATATATAGACGCGGCAGTCTCTCAAAAAGCTCATACATTTGTATAGCTGAGCTTGCCAGCCCGCAATAGATAGTGGTACCGACTGACGTCGCAGCCACGGCAAATTATGGTCGTGGTCGCACTTAGTCTCTAGCGTTGTGCAGTAAGAGTAAAGTCGGTCATGCAACGCATCGATTCGATCGACGACGAGCTATAGCAGCACGGCTGTGGAGCTGGTACTACTGGAATTTTCAAGACGGCTAATCCACGAGGCAAATCCATCGACGGATCAATCAGCTGCATCGATTCAAATACGCGCGAGATTTTTACCCAATGTGGTGGGTACTTGAATCTTGCGACGTCCATCAGAAGTACCATGTCTTTCTCGGCGTGGTATCCCCCAATTGGTGAAAAGTGTCCGTCTCCAGTCTGTCCGAGTACCTTGCGACTGTAATTTAGCACCACAATCTCGGAACTTGTAGCACAACTGTGCTTGACAATCTCTCGAAATTGCTCCAGTGTAAAGTCACTTGTGGCTCGGTAGTCCTCTGTAATCACACCGTTACAGCGTGCAAGGCATATGAACTCCGACAAACTGATCCCTTTTTCTTTGGCGACACTAAGGGACGTACAACAGTCGAATAGCTCTTCACTAAACCATCTCCACGGTCCTTTCCAGAGTCTACCAGGGTCGATTTGCAGTGCATTTAGACACATAGCAAGCGTAGCAAGACCACAGAAAGCAGGTTCTGCTTGCGTAATAAATTGTTCAGCCAGTGGAAAGTAAATCTGCATGTAGTTCGTACTACAGTTGATCGCCTCAGTAAAGAGCTTACGACCATCTGGGCTGGAAAAAGCGATACAGTCTTGTGGTAAATGTCGTCGGTGAAAACTACTCTGAAGTGCGCTGGTTGTCGAGCTGTCCATTACAAGCCTCTTGTTTTGATCCTTCTCTTGATTATCTTGATTCCGAAAGCATTGTTCAGCCATATTAAGTGCCTCTCTCTCCTGTCTCTCCTTTTCCCGTTTCATCTTGCAGCCACACTCCATGTCCATGAGCTGTTTACACTCTAAAGTGTTTGGCGTAATTCTTACTAATTTAATCGATTGAATATTACGAAAAGGCGAAGCTAAACGGGTCGGGTTTGAAGAGTCAAGTTCAGACTGTAGATAATAAGTGTTCAGCCTGTGGCCCGTCACACACGCAGCTGTATGACGATGGTGGGGCGTTCGGACTTGAAGTTTCAAGCAGACAGTTGAGACACTTGGTAAATGTTTCTCTTTTCGCAGTAAAAGTTTTAAATGGGTCTCGAAGCGAGTTGGTAGTTTGATGGTTCGTGACCACATTTTTTTGGTCGGCTGAAAATAAATTAATTCGCAGATAGGCTGCTTTTAGTACAGAGAGACGTTTAATCAGCGTCAGAGGTCGAGGACGGTATCGTCGGAGAACCACATAATTTATGTGCTGGTGCAGAAGAGTTCTTGCTGCATGGACATGCAGATACTTAACTTACTGCGGATACATATTCTTGTTTGGAAACATAGTACGGTATGTATACCCTGTCACTTAAGCCCACTACGGAACTCTTATTGCAAATATGCACTCACGAATTCGACCAGAGGATAAGTCATGCGTTCACTTTCACAATCAAGCCAATAGGTAACGAACTGGATCTGCTTTCGACGGCATGATGTTGAATATGAGAAACACTATTCCACCCCCTTTTTGATATTTGAGACTTTCAAATATGATAGCATACAGCTTGTGCGGTGTATAACACGACAGTTTCCACTAAAACGTCGCAGACGTTTTTGACATTGCACAATATCAGTCGAGTGGTCTACATCAGGTATTTAGAATTTAAAAGTGGACTCACGACAACAACTTGTTGATTGAATACATTTCTAAATGATCTACCGCCCATGCCACGTGGCGTACCGCAGTTCGATATGACGTTTGATATTGACGCCGATGGCATTTTGAAAGTATCGGCTGTTAAGAAGTCGCGAAGAAGATTACAACCTGGTTTGGCAACGTGATTTACTACTGTGGCGAATGTTAGAGATCTACTCATACGTAAGAGATTAGAAGGAAGACATGGCACTGGTCCCAAACGACGTGGAGATGATGAAGAACCAGTCGTTATATCGATAAGTATATTTCACGATATTATTTAATACTCAATACCTTGGGTACCGCTTATCAGCAGCGAGATCGCGATCTTTGACTATCATACAACTAAATTTAAGCTTAAAGTCATCTGCTTTAATTTCCAGGTCTTATAAACTTACTTTGTTTGCGAGACGAGAGGAAGCATTAACAGTTCTTACATGCTGAAAACAGCCGTGCATATTCAATGAGCGTGCTGCTGCAGCAACCAGTCCAAAAATAAGGACGGGTCTCACTCTCTAATTTGCACTGCACGACTCTCCGTTTTTTTTCGGTGAGAGCGGTATGCCGAATCATAAACGAAATCAATACAGCCACGCCGAAGTCTATTTTCAAACATACAGGCCCTCTTAGAGTGTCATAGCGCCACTACATTATCAGACACTAGGTGTAAGCATGAAGAGCAAACCCAGCCACCAGCATCTCCAATTCTCGACTCGCTCATCGAGCAAAAATTCGCTTGCATGTAATGCTGCTCGAAGCGCATGGAGTGCGTTCGACTCTCTGATACTTCGTTTGTCTTTCCGCCGAGAACGGCGGCCACCCTGCTGGCGATGTATCGAAGCTCATAATCGGATATATATTAAATCTGATCACCCAAGTTGTCAAAGCTGGAACACTCCTATCAAAATGGATCCCAATATGGTTAATGAAACAAAATTCATGCTCTTCTGATGTGTACACCAACAAGAACCAAGAAATACAAAACTACTGTTAAAGATGAAGACGGAAAGACTCCATAAAAGAAGCAGTCTGTGGGATACGTAGGCTGATAACGCAATATGCCCGGTGCACTTGGCAATCATTTGTAGTCAATCTGATCACCAAGTTTTCTAGATTGTATCTCCGCAGAAAGTGGCACAATTTATCTGTCTCCCTGTCTCCTGGACAACCAACACGCTTGCTTAGATCAAGTCTATCTTTGGTCCAGATGTGTGAGTGGAAGAACCGAAAGCCAGAAGCAAAGATTCTCACATGAAGGCGTTTACTAGGTAAAAAAATGGGACAGTGCGACATTTCCAGTAACGCCCTAACCAGGCGTCTGTGGTGCAAACCAACTCCAACCGTGAAACCGCTTATGCCATCCACTTAACTCTTCAGAGGTAGAAATGAGGCGATTATCTCAATATACATTAAGCCGGGCATGTCCCTGACGGAGCAGCGCATCGCGAGCAGATTCCAAGCTATAAGGCCGCGCAAGAATTGACACTTAGGGCAATTGCACTGTAAGGGCGAAATTTCCCACATGGATAGTGTTAAAGTGACATTATCTCGGGTAACCATCGAATCTTCATTGTTGATCCATTGATCATTTCCTTTTTCACATTAAGCAGGCTAACAACATGCCCAGTCAACCCAAACAAGGGTGTCCGACGCACTAGAGTCGATAAAAGTTCGTAATGATTTCTCAAAGCCGTCTACAAACACTTTTTAGACTACCAAAATCGCGCTTTGCCTGAACTACTATCACCCCACCTGTCAAGCATTCCAAATGTATTGCACACATTTCCACCATCATTTTAGACCAGAACTAGCAGAATCTCTCCATTGGCAACGCCAAGTCGATAATAGACCCACATTTTGAAGGTGCTAACAGCTTCCATCTTCATGTAGGTCTCCATACATGTGGGACTCCTTCACGAAATTCTACATTCATCCGCTGGTGAGTGTTGCAATCAATCTTCAGTACGGCTTATGCGCCGCCAATGCTATCTAAAGTACAAGCGGAATAAGCTCTTAAAACGCAGTGGAGGTGGTGAACCTCGACGATGTGGGGGGAAGTATAGATCTCTTCTGCCAAGCCGTAATGCGGCGATCAAGGATGATACTTCCGCGCTCCCTTCTCCTATGTTAAATGGTATGAAGGGCTGGGTTGCATGGTCATTTGCAAATCCATTGCAGGTAAACGTCGTGTACCATTAGGGCAGGTTGTTCACTAGGTGGAAACATATTTAGTGTAATTTGTGGAGGTTTGGTAAAAAACATATTTTGAACTAGTATATCGATGTAAGCGAGGTGAAGCTTGCGACACAGGGTTTTTGATCACCCTATCTATTTACCTGAGCACTGCGTAGCTGTCAAAAATTCTATTTGATAACGGAATGTCGCGCAATCACCTCTGTCAAAAACAGAAGACGGTCCACGGAGATAATGAAATAGCAAATACCGATGCATATTCAAACAACTACGATGAAGACTAAATCTGAAATGTCAAAGATTATTTGACCCGTATTTGAGCTTTGCAGTTTTGAGCAGCGTAAATGACGCCTTATCCTAAGTCTGATCCGCGTTTCAGTTGCATTCAAAGTATGGCGTGGTTTGAACGCTATGAGCCGTGGATTATGTGTAAGTCAAAAAATAACAGTTTCATATATTTTATCCAAGTGAGGGTTTTCACCAGTGTCACTAAGCAGAAGTGATTTGGACGCGGGCACGGAACCGCGATAGCTTCGCTGCATAACATAAGATTTTATGAGTCGCTGAGAATGGAAGTTACAGCAGGTATTGTGCAGAGCTTGGATGACAGAAAGACCATTGGCCGCTATGTTAGGATATGACAAAAAAGATCGTATATCGCGGTCTGCAAAAATAATCCCTGATCAACTGACGGTATGTTATTTGTATCTTTCGCGGAACATTTAGTCAATGCTGTAAGCAGGTGACTCTAGTGTCAAAGCTGGTGGAGAAGTTGACTCTAGTTGCAGCGGGGCTGCCGGTGCTTTGCGCTTAGAGGAGCGTAAGTTTGGTCACCGAACTTTCGTTCTATGCATAGAACAAGTACGAGTTTAGCGGATCGCAATTCGCTTACTCCAACGGTAATTACAACCTCAACCCAAGGCTAATTAATCCTTCCGTATAAATCCAAAACTGACTTTATTTTTTTTTATCAGCGGCAAAGCCGCCTTATTTTAAATGCATAGATTTTTCTAATATGTAAAGTAGAATCTAAATACATGTATAAATACTGGCTATCCAGCCCCGTACTGTTTTTTGGTTTAGGTGTGGTCACGCCATGTCCATCTGGTGTGACACCCCCCCCCTGTTATTAGGGTATGTGTAACCCCGTTACACTCTCCTCCATTGAGATTGAGAACATTTTCAGTTCCAATCGATTATTGCCTCAACGAGGCTTGCGTGTCCGTTAGACAATGCGTCGGAACCAAATGACTTCCGTTCTCAATGATCCCTGTGTCACTCCTTTTCGAGTCTGACACTCCTTTTCTCGGACGGAATGATGAGGAAGGCAAGCCGCACCAGCGGAGTGAGACGTGCCCTGCTCGCGCCTTGCGGACCCCATGTCCGATTCCTGACTTCTCGTCACCTGAGGAACGTGTCGTAGTCACCAATGACCTCGATGAGATACAGATGCGGTAGCTGGAAGATGCCCGTAAGGCGGCTCTGATGCGCGCACATCCACGGCCGGTCAGTGACCCTCGTGTGGAATATGTCTTCCGCCCGGCGGATCCCGCTGTGGAAGCAGTGTACATGGTAACTCAATCGTTATGCCTCCACATCATCGGGCACTCAGCAATTACGAAAGATGAGCTTGCCAAACGGAAAGCTCTTCAAGCTCGACTCTTGGTTCCACAAGAATCTCCGTTGAAACTTATCGCACTTGTCTGCGTGCTCAACGAGGTGGCTCTCGTGTACCCGCAATGCGGGCGATACCTGTAGTGCTCGCCCCTCGCGAAAGCGCTTCAGATGACAAAGCGATTATTAAGCGATGGGTGCAACAGCACCGCACAACTTTCTCACTGTATGTCTTACAGTTGAGCAACAACAAAGTGGACGTGCGTGTGGAGG